GTGCTGGCGGAGGCTGGAGGCTGCGCGTCTGCCCTGCGGGAGGCGGAGGATGGGGTGGGGGGATGGGAGGGGAAGAGGGGCTCCCTGAGGCAGTGGCCCCAGAGTCCTAGGCCACAATGCCCCTGCAGGGAGGATAGATTGTGCCCTGGGGAGGGCCCTGGGTGCTTTTGGAGGCCTGGAAGGGGCAGCGCCTGAGGGCCCAGAAAGGATACTGATCTAGCCCAGGGCGGCAGGAAAGTCCTCTGCAAAAGTTGGCACGTGGTGGCACAGTGACCTCTCTTGGGTGCCATCTGCTAAGATTGTGGAGGGGCCCCTGGGGAATATGCAGAGCCATGTGTTGTCCGGAAAACAGAACTGGCCCAGCCAGGGTGCTCAATGGTTGAGCATCGACCTATGAACCCAGAGGGCAGGGTTGATTCCCGGTCAGGGTTGTGGGTTGGATCCCTGTGGGGCATGAGGGAGGCATCAGTGGTTCTCTCATCATTGATGTTTCTATCCGGTTCCCTCTTCCTTCCTCTCTGAAATCAATAAAAATAAAAACAAGAAACAGAACTGGCTTAGGCAACATAAGAGGATGCCCCAGAGGGCCCTAGGCAGGCCTCCGGGGAGCCCTGGGACTCAGAGCCGGTCTGGAAGGGAGGAGTGTGCCATGAAGAGCACTGGTGCCCCTGAACCCTCTCTGACAGAGATACAGAACTGGCCTGGACCGCACAGTGGGTTCCTGGAAGACATTCAGCCGGTTGCCTTGGGACAGCCTCAAGTGGGGATGCCATGGAGGGGCTGCGCGGGGCTGTGAGGAAGCCCACTGTGTCGTGTAGCCACCTCTCTCAACACCTTCCTGCCAGATTAGAAGGGTCCTGGGGGACAACTTCCAGGGCAGCATAGCAACTAGTTAGGTGGGGGAATGAGGGATAAGTGCCTACCCGGAACCAAGGGCAACTCCAGGGAGGGCTAGGAGAGGGGAGGTTCAGGCAGGCAGTACTTGTTATAGAGTACGATGTCTGGCCGCCACACTAGACTGCTGGGGATGCGGATGGCATCCAGGCCATCATAGTCATCGGGGTCCCATCGTAAGTAGGCATCTGTCCACTCCTGTCGGATCCACAGGTATAGGGTCAGCACCTGGTTGCGCTCATCCTAGTTGGGCAGGAAGTGGGCACAGATGTGGACACATGTATATGCATATCCTTCCCTGTGTGTGCAACTCACCTACAGAGCTCTAGTCAGTGCCCACAAACCCAAGTTGCCCGTACAGCCCAGTTCCCACCCAGGCCTTGTTGTGCCCTTGGCAGGTTCTTCTCTGGGCCTCAGCTTCCTTAGCAGTTATCTGGGTGATAATCCCTGCTGGGCAGGACTCAACGGTGCAAAGTTTGGGGCACACTGTGGGCACCTAACAGTATCCACGTTAGTAGCTATTATTGTTCATATTAATGTTTACAGAAAAGAATTGTTTGGTGAATCATACCAGTCCCCCACCCCCAAATTCCTTGACACTGTCACCAGCACATCCCACAGTTGTACAACCACAATGTACCATGTCAATGATCTGGGACAATGTCACCTCCAGGGTCACGTTCAGAGTCTGGTCTGTATCCGCCACAGGTCTCAGGGCACTTGTATAGTTGGCAAAAAGGTCACGGAACAGCTTGTGAGCCAGCCTGCCTTCAGCTCCCAAGCATCCTGGGGGACAAGCAAGAAGGTTTACTCTAGTGCAGGAGCCTCTGCTCACACCCTGCACCTCCACAAGCCTGGGACTGTCACCTCCACTCTCACAGCGGTCTGACTGGTCCCCCTGATGGCTGCCCTCTGTCCCCAGGCGGTGACTCTAGTTCTTCCCCGGCCTGCCTCCAGGGATGAATGAGGTGAAGTAGGTGGAGCGAACTGATACTCTTTTCTGAAGCAAGGCTGATGCGTTTCTTCCCTGCCTTTCCCTTCCCAAGGACCTGGATTTGGTCTGCCTGCCACAAATGCTAGAAGGGCCTATAGAGGCCACCAGAGTGCCAGCTCTCACCCAGGCATCTGAACCCCCTTGCCCAGCCCCCTCCAGTTTCTCACACCTGCCTCCACTCCTCCTGTTGCACTTCAGTTAATTTCTTCAGGGCTTCTGACATTGTAGGCCAGTCCCACCTGAAAACACACCCCATCCCTAAGCTTTTGTGACACACCATGTTGTCCTTAGTTCCTGACTTAAGTATCGCTTCTCAGAATCCTGTTGGGGACCCTCCTCTCCTTTTTCTGTGGTCCCCTGAGCTCCAGATGCATATATACAACAACCCACTCTTGAATGTCCTGTAGGCACCTTAAACTCTCTAGGTCAAAACAGGAATTCATTTCCTTCCCCCCTGCTCTGAAGCCTGCTCCTTGTTTGATGTTCCCATCTCAGCAAACAGCACCCCCCAGTGACCTCAGCTGGAAACCTAGGAATTATCACTCTCCCTCCTCCTGTCGTTCACCCCTGCAAACCAACCAGTACCCAAATCCTGTCAGTCGTACTGCTGGACATCTCTTGCATGTTAAATCGCCTCTTCAGCTCAGGCCTCATCCCCCCTCTCATGGACCACAGCAGCAACAACCTCCTCACTGCTCCCTCTGGTCTCAGGCCCAGCCTCTCCAATCTTCCTCCACATTTCTGAGAGATCAAGCTATTTTTTGCCTTTCGATTTGTTTATCTGATGTATACGTTTATTGATTTACAGATATTGTACCAGAATATTACCAGATATTGTACCCCAGAATAAATCCCACTTGTTCATGGTGTATGATCTTTTTAATGCTTTGTTGGATGCGATTTGCTAATATTTTGTTGAGGATTTTAGCGTGCAAGTTTTTTTTAAAATATATATATTTTTATTGATTTCAGAAAGGAAGGGAGAGGGAGGGAAAAATAGAAACATCAACGATGGGAGGGAATCATTGATTGGCTGCCTCCTACATGCCCCACACTGGGGATCGAGCCCGCCACCCGGGCATGTGCCTTGACTGGGAATCAAACTGTGACCTCCTGGTTCATAGGTTGAAGCTCAACCACTGAGCCACACCGGCCGGGCTTTAATATATTTTAAAAATTGATTTTAGAGATAGGGGAAAGGAGAGAGAGAGAGTGGGAAACATTGATGAGAGAAACATCGATTGACTAGCTCCTGCACGACCCCTCCCCCCCATCCGCCCTGAGGATTAAGCTGAAACCAGGCATGTACCCTGTCTGGAAATGAACCAGCAACATCTAGGTACACGGGAGGATGCTCAACCAACTGAACCACATCAGCCAAGCGAGACCAAGCTTTTGAACACACAAATCTGACCAGGCCAGTAACTGCTTAAAACCATTCAATGGCTCCTCATTGCCTACTGAATAAAGCCCCAACTCAGCCTCTCCTTCAAGGGCCCCTAGCTTTTCCAGTCCTACCTCTGGAAGCTCCCCTCTCACCTCACCCACCCCAGTCAGGCAAATCTCTCACCCTTTTCTGCACCCCCTCCTCCACACTCCCCCGACAGCTTGTTCTCCTGCGAAGGTGACTGCAGAGAGAAATGAAAAGAGAGAGATTTGGAGAGGACAAGAACAGCAGCAACACCCAGAGAGGCCAGGCCTGGTTTACTGAGCTTCGTACCTGGAAGGAGTGGGAGCAGGAACAGGAACAGAAGGCCCAGTCTGGAGAGGCCAAGGCAGTGGCTCCTGGGCCCCATGGCCCTGCAGGGCAGGTCTCTGGGTGTGAGCCTCCTGGCTCGACCTAGGGCAGCATCAGGGCCTGCTAGCAAGGATGGTGTGGACAACACCTGGAAGTCAGAAGGAAGATCTTTGGTGGGTCCAGCACCCACTGGAGAGCCCTGCAGCCCATCTGGTTATCTGACTCTCCTTTTTTGTACTTGTCCTTGGATTTTAGTACTTCTCCTCTGCTGGACCTTGCCTCTCTGGCCTCTGCCCTTTCCTCTGCCCCTCCCACTCCCTTTACCTCACACTCAGCTTCCCTGGCTCTGTTTCCTTCTGTCTATTTCTCTGTAGCTCTTTCTTAGTCTCTCTTGGCTTCTCTGACTCAGATCTTCCTCTTGTCACTCTCTCTTCTTTTCTCCTCCTTCTATCTTAGCCCCCCTGACTTCCTGCTTCCGTTCCCCATACCTGGGCTCTGGATGAACCTGGTGCATTCTCCATCAGGGTCAGGGACTCCGTCAGTCCTGATCCCTCGGAGGCACAGGACAGCAGGCCTCTCCTCTGGGCCCTTTTCATTAGCTTAATTACACCCGTGCAAGGGAATAGAGAAACTGAAACTGATACTTCAGGCCACTGGGACCTGAATTATTCAAGTTCTGTAAGGCAGCACCCAGGCTCTGCTTAGGCCCAGGCTGAAGGGGTTGAGGGTAGAGAAATGCCAGGTTTAGGATCTGTAGGACACTGGGGCCTAAGGATGTTAAGGGCCAGAACTTATGGATGGTAACTCTACTCCCAGCTCTGACACTCAGAGAGGTACTAAACAGATCTCTCCGGATGGTTGGTGCCAGGCAAACTCTCCAT